AAACGTATTTATATAAAACATATTAAAAATAACATATTACAAACATATTAATAACATATTAAAAATAAATACGTTTAATTTTATAAATACGTTTAAAAATATGTTTTGTTATATATATATATATAAAATTTCATAAGATTAAACAATGAAATCGATAGATGAAGGTGGTTTGCACGGTTTACACAAATGAGGACGGTTTTCATATGATCATTCCTCTCTCTCTCTCTCTCTCTCTATATATATATATATATATATATATATGTATATAAATTTATTAATTACCAAAAATTTGAAAAAAAAAAAATTTGCAAAGGACCGGCCGTAACCGGTTATGGGACCGGAACCGGGACCGGACGGCTTAACCGGTTACCGGTAAGCTTGATCGGTTATGGAGGATTTCACTGGAACCGGGACCGGTTATGGAACGTTTTTGTCTTGATCGGGACCGGCCGTAACAGGTTATGGCCCGGCCCGTGACCAATTTTTGGCCACCTCTACCCGTAACTATGGTGGCCACACAACATTTTTAATTTTAGACCCTAATTTTTTTACACAAAACGTAAAAAAGACACAATCAAGCGAACTTTTGCTTGTGACGTCAAACTTTTCTGACATGATCCAAATGTAAAAAAAACGATAAGAGAAAAAAGATAAATTGCAAGTTATGGTTTGTATTTTTTCTATTCCGGTTTTTACATCTACATCCTGTTAGAAAAAGTCTGACACCGCAAACAAAAGTTGACTTGCGGTGTCCTTTTTACCGGTTTGTGAGATATTTTATGTATACTTTTTTTTTATGTAGAACCACACTATTCATTAAATAAAAAATTCTATAAATAAAAAAATTAGAATAATTACCATTTTGAACTGGATAAAATTTGAAATTTTCATTATATCTTTCAAATTTATTTATTTTTTAATTTTAATTAATTCATAATTTTTATTAGGTTTTATATAGAAAAATTTATAGATACACTATTGAATTTTTTTTTATAATTTTCATCAAATATCACATGTGATATCCACAATCAATTCATTATCTTTTTCATCATGTTTCTCTATTTTTTGAATCCACATTTTGAATCACATTCTGATTAGTTTCGTTTAACATATGATTCACTATGTGAATATTTGTAGGCATGTTCATTGGTTGACATCTAATCGATGTGAGAGGAACCGAACCGATCCAATCATTTATTGGATGTTTGATTTTCCCAATCGATACAATCCAATTAACATTGGAAAAATGATCCAATTAAATAGATGATTGGACCGGTTCAATTCCATCAATTATATATTCTTATGGAAATCTGTTGGATCCAACCAATGTTAATCAGATTTGATCGATCCAATATCTAATGTATGATTGGATCGGATTTGAAAATTAATACTTTTTATTTTCACTTTTAAGTATATATATATATATATATATATATACACACACGCTATATTATAAACCAATTGACAAAAACTCTTAAAAACCATTTTTTATGCACACAGTACTTTCTATTGATGCATATTATTTAAAATTTAAGATTACAAATAAATTCTGAATAAGTACAACTTATTAAAACTCCATATTTCAATTCGTGTAACTAACTGCAAATAAATATAACCAAATATTGAATAAACATCTCATTTTAAATATAAAAAATCTAAAATATAATTAGAATATTCATTGAGTTATATCAAAATACTTAGTTATTATCTTTATAAAATTATATTATTAAACTTAAATTAAATTATAATTAAAAAATTGAATTAAGGAAATTACACCAAAACACAATAACTTTTAAAAAGATTATTTTGATATTAATATCGATATATTTTTTTTCAAAATTTT